ACAAGGCCAGTAAGAAGATAATTAAGGCTAAGTGAAGTCCTAAGGTGGTCTCCTTATCTGGAGAGGAAGAGACACCAGAGCACTCTCTGCATGTGCACAGAGGAAGAACCTGTGAGGACACAATGGTGAGACAGTCATCTATCTATACATCAGCAAGAGAGGCCACACCAGAAACCAACCCTGACAACACTTTGATCTTGGACTTCCAGCCACCACAACTGTGAGAAATAAATTTCTGTTGTTTAAGCCATCCCAGCCTGTGGCATTTTGTTATGACAACCTTAGCAGACTAATATAATTAGTCATAAATCATTAGTCAAATGCAAATTAAAACACAGTGAGATACCACCATACAATACAGAAATGGATGATATATGAAAAATTAAACCTGACAATGCGAGGCACTAGCCAAGATGTAAAACAGTAAGAACTCTTCCTTAGGTTTGATGTGGTGGTGCATACCTATAATCCCAGCAATTCTAGAGGTTGAGGCAGGAGGATCACAATTGCAAGGCCAGCCTCAACAACTTAAGGAGACCCTATCTCAACATAAATAAATAAATAAATACATAAATAAAAAAGAAAGGAAGGAAGGAAGAATGAACAAAACTAAAAGGTCTGGGAATGTATCACAATGGCAAAGCATGCCTGGGTTCAGGTCCCAGTACCAACAAACAAACAAATATATAAGCAAACAAAAAACACCTCTTGGAGGGAATGCAAAGTGGTACAGCTATCATGGAAGCATTTGGTAGTTTCTTACAAAGTTATACAAACACTACCAAGACCTAACAGTCTCCTACTCCTTGGTATTTGCCTAAGTTAATTGAATAAACAAACATTTATAGCAACTTTATACATAATTACCCCTCAAACAAGACAATTACAGTGTAATTCAACAGGTGAATGAATAACCAAGAGTCTGGAACATCTTTTTTTTTTTTTTTAGAGAGAGAGAGAGAGAGAGAGGGAAGGAGTGAGAGATAATTTTTTGATATTTATTTTTTAGTTTTCGGCGGGCACAACATCTTTGTATGTGGTGCTGAGGATCGAACCCGGGCCGCACGCATGCCAGGCGAGCGCGCTACCGCTTGAGCCACATCCCCAGCCCCCTGGAACATCTTTTTGATGAAGTGCTACTGAGAATTATAAAGCGGCAAACTATTGATTCACCCAGGATTATAAATGCATTTTGTTAAGTTTAAAAAGTCACAAAAAAGCAATATATTATGTGAATTGGTTCTCATGAACTTTTGGTAAAGGCAGAATCATAGGGATGGGGAAGAGTTCAATGGTTACCAAGAGTTGGTAGAAGCAGGGAGGGCTGATGATGAAGGAGGCACACAACACTGTCAGGTGATAGAACTGCTAGGTATGACACTAGCTGGTGGATCCCTAGTACTGTGTTCTTGTCAAATGCTTTAGTTTGCCACCAAAAAAAAGTTTAAATGTATGTAAATTCAAAACATCCAAGATGTAGGGGAAATCCCAGGATGGAATTTAGATGGTAACAAATAAGTACAACTGTATTCAATATAATGTCATGTAAGTGGATGAGGACAAAAAGACCTAGCCTAAGTCACTTTGGAAACCAGTGTTTTGAATGGATACTATAGAATTAGAGACAAAGGATCTGTATAATAATACTGCATTCTAATGGGTAAATTTGTTTCTCATATGAGTAAATCTCAGCAATTCTGAAGATATTTGATATGCATCTATGGTGAAAAAACAAGTGTTATATATCATGTCAGGAATGTTTCTCACTCTGAGAAAGAAATTAAAATAATCAGGGGGAAGGAGGAAAAAAGCTAGAATGAACTTAATGAGGTAAGTATGTGTGATTTATACAATACACACACATATATACAAACACATATCCACATGTGTGTATACATATATAGACACACATGCATATACACATGTACATTACACAAATATGCACACACACTGATGCACACCTATTTGCACAATAGACTCACATATGCATATGTGTGCATACAAATACACACATACATGCATGCACACATATACGCACATGTGCATACGCACATGTTGCACACATGCTGTTATGGTTTAGATGTGGTGTCACCCCAAAGCTCACAGTTAATACAAGAAAGTTTAGAGGAGAAATGATTGTGTTATAGCCTTAGCCTAATCAGTGAATTAATCCCGGATGGGATTAACTCTACTGGAAAGGTGTGGCTGGAGGAGATGGGAATTTGGGCGTGGCTATGGGGTATATATTTTGATTCTGAAAAGTGAAATCTCTCTCTCTGTCTGCTTTCTGATCAACATGTGAGCTGTTTCCCTTTGCCACACTCTTCCAATATGATGTTCTGCCTTACCTGGAGCCCCAAGGAATGGAGCTGGCCTTCTATGGACTAAGACCTCAAATAAGCTCTTCCTGCCCTAAAATTGTTCTGGTCAGATCTTTTAGTTGAAGCACCAAAAAAGCTGACTAAAAACAGATGCATGTGCACACATGTGCACATAGAAATGTATGCATACACAACAGACATGCATGCATGTGTAATATATACACACATGTGTATTCATATGTATGCAATACACACATACACATGTATGTACACACATGTATACACACATGCATATGTATACATATGTGTGTGTTTATGTGTACCTGTATTCACACATAGATATTTGCACACATGCAGTGTATTTACACACTTATATATATATGTGTGTGTGTGTGTGTTCATACATATGCATCTATGAATTAATATAGATGCATAAGTTCATAGCTTTTTTGACTAAGAAGACCTAGAAGGAATGATACCTCAGTAGCAAAGATCTTGGATTAGAAAATACCATTTTCTAATGAAATGAAAAATATCTCATTAGGGGGCTGGAGGAAGGAAAATTATTTCATATTAAAAGTTTAAAAAAGTGAGACATGTCTTTTATATATTTTATGTCCCTTGAAGAGAAGCTTGAGATCCCAAATGAGTCTCTAGTGAGGCCAGATAAGTAAGAATCTGAGTAATTTAGCCTTGTTGCTATGAACTTTCACACATTTCTTAAACCTTGCTAACAGGTGTAGGTCATTGCAGTTTCTGAAAAGGGGAACTTTAGTGGACGAACTGGGGCTTCTGCCGGGAATTTGTGAGGAAGCCCCTGGCCTCCTGCTTAAACCTTCAGCATTTAATGGACACACCTTCTCCACATCAAGGATGGTAACACTGGAATGCTGGTTCCCAGGTTTGAGCTCTTGACTACACCTTTGCTTTTTATTTCCCCAGCATGATGCCCTTCTATGAAGGTGGCCATAACTGATCTGATTTCATAAACAGGGTTGATCTGCATCACAGCTATATTCTAAGGTCATGGTAAAGTGAGAGAGAAGAGGAGACAGACCAGGAAAGGGCAGGATATAGTGGAATCTGATCACAGGGGAATCTCCTTCTTGGGAATTGAAACTTAAAGACAGACTCTCACTCTCCTTGTCTGTACAACAAACCCAACCTAAAATAATCCAAGTCTGTCTCCTAGGAATTTGAAACTTCAAAGTGAAGGATATAGAGAGACGAGATTCGGAGAAAGAGTGGGAAATTTGGCCTCCAAGGGACCCAGGGTTGTCTTGCGTCTGCGCTTTCTGAAGCTAGGATCTAGCCACCTACATTGGTTTCCTGTGCCTGTTGTAGAAATTTCCCATGAACTGGATGGCTTGAAACATAGTAATTTATGCTCACAGTTGGAGGCCAGAAATTCCAAAATCAAGGGGTCAGCAGGGCTCTGCTCCCTATAGAGGTGCTGAGGGTAAACCCATCCCTGGTCCCTTGACTTTGGAAGTCCCTTCCAATTCTGTCTCCATCTACATCATCTCTTCCTCTTCTGTCTGTCCACTCTGTGTGTCTCTTATAAAGACAACTGTCATTGGATTCATGGCCCCCTTGGATAATAGAGGATGATCTCTTCATCTCAAAAATGCATATATTAATTCATCTACAAAATCTTTTTTTTTTTTTGATAAAGTAACATTCACAGGTTCTTATGATGACATAAATTTAGGGGACCATTATTCAACCCAAACAACAAACCATCCTTCCGATTAATTTCTTCTTTTTCTCAAATTAAGTAGTGCCAGTTTCTATTATTTTCAACTGGAAGAACTTACTAGTTTGGCCCCTCAAAGTTTGTAGCAGCAATTATAAGTGGCTTGTACCACCTGTTTACTAAGCCTGACTTCTGAAATTCTCCAATTGTAGTGTTAAAAAAAAATTACTTTGGAGCCTCTTAAAAACATAGGCTTCTGCCCTCATCCCCTGAAATTTTCAGAAGATTAACCTGGGAATCTCCATTTTTAACAACTCCCAAATATTCCTGTGATGAAAGAGAAATAGAGAAATCAAGAGTTCAGGCCCCATTATAAGGTCCCATTCAAATACAAACAAGAGGAAAAGCAATGAAAAATACTTGGAAAACTTTAATGATGTTTATATAGTAAAACCATAAAATCTCTTAAATAAGGTACATTCAATTTCTCAGAGCTTCTAATATTCAGATCATTTATAATTCACACACTTCCCAACATTAAACAATTGACTAAATAATACATTTTCGATAAAATGATATTACAGCTTATACAGATAAAATTATATCACAAAAACACTCCACACAGGAAAAAATGGCAACACCTATTAGAAAACCCTACAAACTTTCCATTAAAAATATATATTTTATCTCTTTCATCTTTCATAATAATAAACAGAATATAGTTTTTATTTCTAAAATTAAGTCTTATACCATTTCTCTCTAGGACGATAATATGTACAAATCTTATATCTGAATGAATATAAATAGCAATACTGGAATAGTGTTACAGATATATTAGTAACTTTTGCAAATGAAACAAAAAATAAAACAACAACAATGTGGCTTTCTAATAAAAGCCCATAGCACAGCTGAAATCTCAAAGCTACTTAAGTTAGACATTCCCATATTTAGAAAGACACAGTGGAGTCTAGTTTTTATTATTATTTCCAGTTAAATTACTGCAAGCAGTAACATGGGAACATACAGTCAGTGGACACTGGGCCAGTCCTGACAGTTGGATCAATTATTTGGGGTTTATTGGGGAAGTTTTCAGGAGACATTAGTTCTTTCTTTACATCATAGTTGCTTTTAGTGCCCTGTGGCAAAATTAGCCATTAGTGATGAGAAAGAAATCACTGTACCCCCTCAATGCCTGAGAAACAGTCTACTTATCCATCAGATCTGGCCCATTGTGAGTCTGGTTATAAGCAGCTTATTTTTCCTGATTGGACCTGGTTGCCTATCATTTCTAAAAATAGCTTCTGGTATAATCTGTACATCGTGAAGCTGTGAAGGAACCGGATGGACTTCTTCAGGCTGTGTGTGACAGTTTTGGGGAAGTGGTATGTTTTCAAGTGCTTGAGCGCATGCATCAGGCCCTTCAAGGTGTCCTGGTTGCCATTTTTTATTCTCCATAAGCTGAGCAGCTTCAGGAGCTGCTCACTTGATTTGCATGTCTTTCTTGTTCTTTCGATGTCTTCTATTCCAACTTTCTTCCCCGGTAAGCTTTCCATCAAGCTGCGAAGCTGCTCAAAGGTGAGGTTTGCGTGCCCAATGTGCCGCTGCACACCATTTTCACAGAGGTCAATATCTGCATAAAGCAAAAGCCCAAAGAGATGTTCACATCATTTATATTCATCTAATGCCATAAAAAAAAAAACAGACTGAGGCAAAAGGTTCTCGCAGAATTTCATAATTTTTAAACTTTCCTCCCCCACCCCTTTTTTTTTTCCAGGCGACTTAAGTGACACTAGTTATTTCTGAGAACTAAGATAAATATTATTTCATGCTATAATAAGATGCTATATATTTTAGGCACCCAATAAAACTTTATGAGGGCCCCTAATTTTGAAAATTAATAGTGGAGAATTAAAGGCACATTGCTCTCAGTTTTCTATGATCAGTTTGAGATCATAAGAGTTCAGAAAATAAAGAAAGTCAAGTTAGCTGTGTTGTAACATAAATTTCTCTAGTCAGTCACTGACATGGGCACTCTTTGAAGAGTGTGAGTCCAAAGAACTAGAGTATACACTCCAGAGGATATTTCAGCAGGGAGTTCGGCATAAACATGAGGCAGTAAGTAATATTCCTATTAATGACATTTGTCATTTATTATCTGTGAGCCTGAAGGCAAGAAAACTCAGTTCATCTTTTGGGAGTTGAAATATACTCATTTATAAAATAGGGAATTTGGTCCCTTCCAATTCTAACAGTTTCTAATTCTCTATTTCCTGTTCTTTCGGCTTCAGGGCTAATTATATGTTCAAAGAACACTTTTGTTTTGCCAAAAACAGAAGAAAAGTTAGCTCTTTGCATAAGCAAAAGCATTCAACTCTCAAATGTGTTAGTCTCCTAAAATCCATTGCTCTGGTTCCAGATGTTTGGGGTTTTCAGGATGGTGTAGGAAAGCTCAGTTATTTAACTATGAGTGAAGAGCAAAATGAATTTCTTATTGGCATTGTCTGCTTTAGGAAAACCACCCTCATTTTTCTGACATGTCCTCCCAATGATAGTTGAAGATGAAACTCTTTCCATTGTACATCCTAAAGCTTACAGTCCACACAAGGTTATAGCCCATAGAGATTTCCTCTCTTTGCATTTTCTATCACATTCTTTGTGTTTTCCATCACATAACAGGTTCTTTCTCTCTCTCTCTCCTCCTTTATCTCAATTTCTCTCTCTCTCTCTCTCTCTCTCTCTCTCTCTCTCTCTCTCTCTTTTCTAACACAGCATTCATTTCTAAAGGAGATTCTTTGGAAATCTCTAAAACATTAGAGTATATGGTCTTAACCATTTTTTCCCCAAGACACTCAAGCACTTTTCACACTATCTTATGAATCCTCTCTATACATGCCATTTAAATGGCGATTTTAATACAGGCCACGTGGTGAGAATGAATGGGAGGGTCCACAGAAGACAGTAGCATCTCTCTGGAGAGAACTGCCAAATACACAGAGCACAGCTTCTTGGTGGAAATGTGAGACAAGATCCAAAGTGGCTAAAGACCTTCTCCTAGGCATGCAGGGAAGCTAAGAAAATAGCTAAAGAATTTGCAAGCAGATTCCCTAAGGTCTAGTCCTTTTGGAGCATCCAATGCACTTTAAAGAGAAATTGGGAGCAGGGGCAAGAACAAAACCTTACACAACTGCTGTAGGAATAACATCTACATTGTCACTTGAAAATCTGTTCAGTCCAACTCTGATTCTTTAAAGGAAACATCATGCACAACTATGCAGGCATGTGGTCTAGCTCCTGTTTTATGACAACTCAGTATCTTTGATTTCTGACTGAGCTCCCATCTCAGGTGTACACACCTTGGATGATCTTCTTGACCATATCTTGGTCTTTGTTTTGATGCTTCCATAATTTCAGCAGCTGGAAAGTTTGTTCTTGTGAGCTGTGCCGCCGCTTTATCCTCTCAACGCTTTCTGCATTTACTTTGGTTCCTGGCAAATTGTCTACCAGGATGCTGAGCCAATTAGGGGTAAATTTCGTAGGAACAGCAAACCTGAAGAATGCCTCTTCACACAGGGTGACATCTAAAGAAGGTAAGGAAACCAAGAAGATTTACTCAAGGATCGGATTTCTGGAAGTATTTTGAATACAAACAAACAAACGAAAAGCAGCAAATGGTGTTTTCCAAGATATAATATGCTAGAATGCAAAGTTTGAGGCTCTTAGAGATAGAGTCTTACTGAACTTAAGTGCTTTCTAATTTTTTTTATGGGCATTTAGGGTGTGGGGAAGTTTAATAAATGTTAAATAAGAATGTAAATAGCTACAAATAAATTACATATTTTGTCAAAATTCTATAATTTGATATAAATATTAACATTCAAAGATTTATTTCCTTCAAGATCAGTGTCAAAACCAATATAATCACTGACTGTAAGGAGCATGAATATATACATATATAAACATACAGTTTACCTGTGTACTCAAGGCAGGAGATAGATTTCTAAATATGCATTAAGGCATTTGGGTGTGGCTCAGTGGTAAAGCACTTGCCTAGCATGTTCAGGACCCTGAGCTCAAGCCCCAGTCTGACACATATAAAATAGCATGCATTAACTGAAAAAAAAATAAACCTAAAAAAAAAAAAAGTCACTCAGTAAAGGGTTGTGATGGCCTAAGTATCTGGTTAGGGTCCATATATTACAGGGATTGGGAACTTGTTTTTAGATTCATCAGATCTGCATCTGAACTTGACTCTGACATTCACACCTATCATTCACTGTGTTTCTGTAAATCTTAAAGCCTATATAGCAAAGTACTTAGCAAATAGTAAGTGCTCCATGAATGACAAAAAATAAAATTAAAGTGAACTAAATAAATTAAAGAGAATGCTAAAGTTAGGAGTCACTCTTTTTATTATCTCTTGCCTTATTTCAATTATTAGATGAGAAATCAGAAAGGCTAGAGAACTTGTCTAAGAAATCAACAACATAGTGAAGAAATGTGGAAACTTGGTTGGAATGATAAATGCATCAACCCACATTCCTATGTTTCAAATACTTCTATGCATTTCAGAAAGACATTTGGGGAGAGTCAAGCTGGTTCATGCTATTGTTTGATTAGATGCCAAAGACAGATCACCCTTGGTTTGATATATCCTCCAGGGAAGGTCTGATTGTAGTCTAGTGGTGGGGTGACAGGGTGAGACATACTCCAGTCCGATTAATGTCATCAACAATATGGGGCAGGCTCAAAGAGTTAGAACCACCAGAGGAATTTGGAACTTCATGCACTAAACAGTCTAAATCCATTGGTGACAAAGCCAAGTATACGTTCTAATTTGTCGTCAGCTTATGTCATCTTGCTTCTTGGTTGCCAATTATAATTTAGCTAATAAAAAAGTCATTCTAGAACATGATAAAATGTCCATCAATTCTACAACTTGAACTCTGCTAATTTGACCTCAAGTAACAAACTTGACACCGCCTATGAATAACACTGAATTTGAATGTGAAAAGAAGGGGAGAAAGTCAGGGTTTGGGGTGTTATCTGTGAGAAGATGAGGACTTTTTCAGAGATTTTGAGTTGTGGCTTTAGCAGATGTTAAGCTGGTTAAGAATCAGGACAGGGAAAATGTGACTAAGAACTTGGCCACAGTCTGTTGTGTTCCATTCAGAGAGAGATGACAGTGAAAATGAGACAAAGGCTGAGTTTGGAATGCCATTACCTATTCCACATTTTTGAGTCGATTCATTGTTTGCAGAACATACATTGTCATGCGTCGCGTTTCCTTTCTGAGTTAGCAAGAGACCAAATATGCTGCAGTTTGTGTGTTTTCTACAGGGAGCTTTAGAGGACGTCTCATTGGAGAAGAACCCATCTGGACATCTTTTGCAAACTGTATTTCGCTCCGGGGTTCCTAGAAAAAACACCAAGCGATTTAGCACCTTCTTCTCAAATACTTTCACAGCAGATACTCTCTTAAAACAGTTCTGGAAAGACTTCTCACTTGGTTTTTACTGCTACTATTATGTATTATGTTGCATAAAACTTTAGGCATTTTCATTTTTCACTTCATTAGACAGAGAGAACAAAACTTCTACAGTCAGCCCCTTAGGCAGGCTCCCCTTCTCCTAATACAAATGCAAGTTTGTTTTGCTGTTACCTACAAAATGATCCTGAAATGTGAGAGGAAAGGAGAGGAAGGGAGGGTGTTCATTAGTCCTGCCTCTGCTGGATGGCAGGAAGGCGGGTTGTCAACTGCATTCTTCACACAATTATTCCTGGAATATCATCAAGGTAACTGCCATGTGTCTGCTGTAACACCATCCTTCGAAATCAGCACCCACTGAAGGTTGCCTCATTAAATTCCAATCAGTTCCTACTGAAGTTCTTTCTTTCCTGAATCCTAATTGCAAAGCAACTCGTAAGCGTACTAACCTTGAGAAGTAAAGATTTACAACGTTACAATAAACTTCTGAAAGTGGCAGTAAAGTTGGCCGCTGACTCAAAAACGTAAGCCTGCAGCGAATCACAAGAGTAAATGGAAAGTGATATACCATTTGCTTGAATTGTTGAGCGAAGGAACACATCATTAAGACTTCAGGAAAGGTAACTGCAAGGACATCTGACTTTACTGTGGTGAGGTATTTGATAAATTTGGAGACATGGCTAATCAGAGTATATGAACCAGTCAGCAACCAAAGTAGCTGTGAAAACTAAGTAACTTCAAACCCTTGACTCTATTATGCATGGATAGATCTGACATTATAGTGTATTTGCATATGAAAATATCTCCATCTAGTGTAAGCTAGTTGAACAATTTAGACTTGGGTATTCAAATGTAGATTTTACAGGCCAATTCTGGCTTATGGGAGATAACAAATGCAAAAGAGACAAATGAAAGCTACAGAAAGTTATTAAACTTCATTTATTAAAAATTTCAACCTCTTACTTCATTATATTTTTTTTACCAAACGAAAGGAAAATAAAAAAGAGGAGCCAAATGGATTGGTTCTAGTTTTATCTCTTGTCCCTTTCTAAAAGATTGATGATTCATTGACCTATAAAAATGACAAAAGACTGGCAGAAACGAGAGAGAGAGAGAGAGAGAGAGAGAGAGAGAGAGAGAGAGAGAGAG